AATTTTAGTTTGTTGTCACAATTATTATTTAACAATTTTGTTTATGTTTGAGCTCGACCCAGTGTCCGTGGACAGGAAGAAAAACAAAAGAATTTCACATTTTTTCTTTGGAGTAGCTTGTTGTTTTATGCGACTTTTCCGCCTGTTACATATCTATGAACTTATCACCTTGCCTGTACTTTATAAAATGTTGTGCTTATTGAAGGTTCAGTTGTGAATGACTTGTTTATGTGTTCATGGTATTATAATTCTGGACATTACCACTTTTATACCACGGCTGTCCTGAATAGGCCATTAAGCGTTATTTGCATATCCCGGTCATGCTAACCTTTGACGAGGTCATACCGTACCGAAAATTGCATGAATGCACCAAAGTGTACGAGTTCCAAGGTTTTAGAACAAAGAGTGGGAATGATGTTTATGCGTCCCAGTACATTTTGCATTGTATGCAATTTGTCGTACTCGGTATGGCCTCAACTACCGCCTGGGCATGTCGGAATTTGCATTCGATACGCGCAACTTCATTCTCCTTCGCAGAGACTATGGGTGTTTTATCACTAAGCTAGGTAGTCGCTAGAGAACGTCCCACGAGTTGCGGCTCAATGTGGCTCCCTAGGTCAGGTCATAACCTCGAAGACTCTGCACGAAAGAGTGGCACGACTTATCCATTTGCATATTCGAATATGTGATTCGAACTACACGTTATGTTCAAGTCACCGGGATACTGCAATCAACACGTTTTACGCCTTAAATTTAAATGAAATTGTCGGCTAATTTACTTAAAGCGCGGTAGTCGTCGCGCTGCTCATGTGCCACATTTGTGTTGATTAGCATTGATTTTCCCACAATCCAATGCGCTCTTCAAATGGAAATCACAAGGGCGCGACTTGCACCAAGTACCATCGATGACTCTTTCTATAACTTGCAATAACCAAACGAAATTACCTAATTAAAACTGTGAATACCAAGCTATACATTGTTAAGATATCTTGGTCACATGTCTTAACAAAGGGTCACATGTACAGTTAGTCTTAACAAAGGGTCACATGTACAGTTGGCGATGGTGTCTTTACATGGATTCCGAAGCAAAATAAACTGATACCCCACGAGAAATTTGTTGGAATAATGCGAAAAATCAAAACCTTATAACGTTACCCCACACAACGTAGACCTTGATAAATTTATTTGTGTTTACATACCTACAGATTGAAGTAAAATATTAGTAAATAGTTTTGTTGTCACACAAATTTATTTTACTTTTAGTTGAAAAAAAACCCATAAATTGAAGTCTGCTTTTGGTTTAGGTGTAAGAACATTGGAAAGGAGATTGAGGGCTTACTCACCTGTGACCTGGTTATACAATGGTATGCGAGGTCAAAGTACCAACATGGAAGGCAGTACTACCATAAATTTCTGAGATGCAGAATTGTTCGGATTACCGGACATCAAATTACAAACTTCGAGTTACAAAAATGACAACGTCCATACTTCAGAAACCACGCCCATTTTTACTTAACCACGCACAAATTGTAACTCGAAGTCTAATTAACAAATAATATATTTTTATTCTTGTTGAACGTCTGCATTAGTAACTCGATTTTTAATTAACAGTTAACCGGACTACGAGTTACCGGCAACATAGATTTTTATATTTGTTGAACGTTCAAATTCAGTAACTCAAATTTCAATTATCAGTT